CCTTGGAGTTCCCCCGGAGGAGCTGGAAGAAGTGTCTGGGGAGAGGGAGGTCTGGGCCTCCCTTCTGAAGCTGCTGCCCCCGCGACCCGACCCCGGATAGGCGGAAGAAAATGGATGGATGGATGGGGGGCCTTCCACTTAAAATTTTCAATTTGTAAGTAGGAAATTCTCACTTCTTAGTACAACTGCACCAGAGCAAAATTAGCCGGCGAAATTGAGATTTTACATGATGAATTTAACGGGCCGCTTTTGAACCATGTGCACCTCCAGCAACTGGTTGGATGTCATCATTTTTCAGGTAAAATAATCAGCGTGCGTTATGGGAGATGGTCAATCCTGACTTTAAAGCAGCTTATTTTAAGACATTAATACATCTTTGAAGTTCTCGCGGACCAAATAAAATGCAGTGGCAGGCCTCATTTGGCCCGCGGGCCTTGGATTTGACATGCGGACTAATGAATCAGGATTTAATCTTCAACCTGCATTTGTACATGGCTGTGCTATGATCTAAATGCATCAAGCATGTGTTCATCCCAGAATTGGTAAAAATATTTTAAATTTTCACCTTTTAATAATTCACATTAGAATAATAGGAAGTAATAGATGTCTAAATGAGGCCTGCAGACCCCTGTGACCCCCTCGGGACAGCAGGAGAGTTCTATTCAGATAATTTACAAAACTGATGCAGCAAATAAAACAAAGTTTTTATCCAAGTGAATGTGTCTGTAAATCTTCTTTTCAGGCATTCCTCATAGATTCTAAGATCAGGGAAAATGATGTCACTGTGACCACTAAAGTGTAATCAGCTCATCCTTGAGTAAATGTTTGTGTTAAATCAAGTTTGAAGGCATTCCTGAGATAAATGACGACAAAAACAATTCGAACACGAAGCATGACGCCTCACACAACTGTTACTGATCCAAAGATATATTTGAATAATAAAATCTGAATAAAACAATCTTTCTTAAGCGGAACAATGACTAAATATTTTTGATTGTGATGTGCTGTGATCAAGTCTCCCTGGATACTTTCGACCACAAAGACCCACTCGTGAATACCCGCTCAGGCCAAGAGGTCTGACAGCCCCAAAGAACTTCACCGGAATATTTTCATGGATTTTGACAACCCGTCGCGTTCTGATGAATGAGCATGAACGCAGCGCAATCACAGAAATCTGAAAAGGCAGGATTTCAGTGGTGCCTGCATCTGTGGGAGTATTGTGTCACAAACTCAAAGCTGTACTTTTGTGGCATGAAAAAAACAAAAACAAAAAACAAAGAGACCAAAATAGCTTCCCAGCTATGATTTAAGGTTTATTTGTGTCACATTTTCCAATATATTCTTTGAAAGGATAGTTTTGCATATCTTTATTTTTATAATTCATAAGACATTTACTCTCTCGGATTTCATKTATTGTGTTTTATTCGGAGAAAAGAAGTGGGGCTTACATCCCTGCATGCAAACCTTGACCTTCGAACTTCTGCAGAGCTGCACGGTGCATGGCCCATCATTGCTCAAAGAAAGCTACGAGCAGAAAAAGCAATCCTTATTGTCRACCTGGGAAAGGCTAATCCATTAAACATAGAGTTCATCCAAGAGTTGACAGATTAACCCGCTGCAGCCTGAGAATCGAGATAGAACCGGAAAAGTCTGGAGAAATGTGGTTCACACAACTGGAGACAAATGATTATGCACCAATAAGGAATGATGTATTTTTTATTAAAGATATTTTGCTGTAACTGTGCAACAAATCATATAGAAAAGTCATATTTTGCACTTTTTTTAAACTTGAGTGTTAGTAGGATTATTGCTTATTTTAAACAGCAGATAATTCTACCAGTGGGTTAAATATATAAATATATATAAATAAAATATTATTATAGCTTTTAAACATTAATTATCATAAAATCCCTCATTTATTTCAAAACTGATATGTTTTACATTAATCTTCTTTAAGGTCAGAATTGTCTTAAAAAGATAAAAAAAAAAGACATCTGCAACATTGTTAACATTTAACTACATTCACTATATTAAAAAAAAACGATTTTTTATGAGACTACGCCGTTTTATTGCTTTAATTAAGTCAATATTGCTCTTCGTGAGGTTAATGTTGCCCAACCCTGGATCATCTGTACATTGCAGTTCCGGTGTTTGGCCACCAGAGGCTTCCTGGGTTTCTGCAACAGCCCCGAGGAGGGCGCGGCTCTGCACTGATTCAGGTCAATGAGTTCCTTGTGGTGAGGGGAGCAGTCAGGCTCCGTGCCAGTAATGCGCACATGCAGCACACATACACACTTGGACAGGCAGAAAAAAAGAAAAGTGACAGCACATTCAGTCGTGTTATTATTAGCAAACGTAATATTTCCAGAACACTGCCTCGTCCCTGATACACACTCCAYAAAGTGCACACGGGATGTTCGGTGCATGTAACGTGGCTTACTGTAAAATCAAATGAGTGCTAAAAAATGACAAAAATGCACACTTCCATGCTCGGCAGGTATCTGCGTGTCTGTTTAAGATGGTGGGGAGAGGTTTAGGTGAGGACCGCTGTGCAGCAGTAAGTATTCAGTTACATGTATTAAGTGCAGGGTGGAGATCCAGGAGCTGTGAAGTGAGCCAAGCTGGCTATTACTGCTCCAGTACTGCTGTGACTGCAACACACACACCGAGCGGGGGAAACGAGGTCGACTTGGCACTTTGTCAAAATTTTTCTCTGCCACTCGCTCTTGCCAAATGCTGCGTAGGATACTACACTACACACAGAGGGGGCCCTGCTCCACTGCACCATTTTAGACAGCTCGGAGCGTTCAGCGGGTTCACATTTAACACACGCTGCAAAAATGAGCACTGAATAAATGAGGACATGCTCCGTGGATTCACCTCATGAAGTGTCCTTCAGATTTTATAGGCCAAGTTCAGCGCTGTGGTTTTTTTTTTTTTTACGTTTTTGCTCTGTAAATTTAGCTATAATTGCCAAATCRCCGGGGAAATACATATTTTATTTTTTGCACAAGTCAAAACATAACTTCATCTGCTGCCAATTTGTTGACAATTTGTAAGCTGTAACACTCCATAGCAAAATACACTCAGAAGGGTTTTCTCTGATCATAGCGTAGAAGCCGTCTATTCCCCATGCAGCGCTGTTACTCTTCTGATGTGGCTTTCATTTTTCACGGTGACGCCCCCATCCTGACAGCTGTAGCACAAATAATAAAAGGTTGTGCAGCTTTCGCAGAGGTAAAAAAAAATCTATTGTTTGTTCAAATGCACACATGGGGGCTTCAGTAAACACTCCCTGAACGTAGTTTCAGTTTTCTATAACCGTCAGACTCAACGTGAGTGACATTTAGCCGTGTGCRCTTCCTCAACTCCCACTTCCCATGCTCACCTTGACAGTAATCTTTCCATCTTCTCTGATCCCATGTTTTTATCCTTTTTCAGCCTCCCTGCATGAGAAAAGAAAAACAGAAAAATGCAGTTTGGCCAGTGTAATCCTGTTTCATTGCTCTGGTGTTTTGAAAAGACTGTTCTTTTACAGAAACTAAGCTGCTTAATATTAATACACAAATTCCTTTTTTTYCCCCTCATGTTTGCCATTAATGTGGTTGGGGCTATATTTAGGCTAAGTGGGCTAATAAACAAGGATTAGGCTACTCGGTAGCTTTTTGTTAAGAAGGTGTGCATCAGAATAAACAGCACAGGGACAGATTACACCTCCAGTGTGGATTATAGCGGAGCAGTCAGCTGATATAACAGGAGGAAAGGTCATTCAGGGAGAAAGCAGAGGTTCGGTGAGACGTAATGCTGAGGGATAACAGGGTTAAAGGCAGATTAGGAAATGATTTTGGTTCTTGAAACTAATAAACAGGACAAAATAAAAACATAGCGGAGAAAATGCAATTTGGTTGGGCTCCATTGAAATAAAGAAATGCTTTAAAATAATCTGTCTCTAGCAATGAAACAAGCTAAACAGACTGAATTATTAACGCAATGAAATAACACATATTACCTGTCATGTTGCATATAAAGGTTTTAAGCAACTAGGATGACTCTCAGCTACTACCATGCCAAGTTTTAGATTGATATTTATAAAAACAACCAATCTGTAGGCTTAGGTGACTTAGCTGTGGCGGTAATCTTAAGCACAGATGATACTTGAAATTATTCAGGCAAGGCACAGGCGAATACACAATGATCTGCCATTATGCAAGCAATAATGTGTCCTATATATGCTAGGAGGGGTGATATGGAGTTTGTGTGTTGATTTGCAAGGCATGTTCTTTTTCAAGGTTTTGATATGTTCTTGATTTGCGCAAAAAAACTAAAATATTAACTCGTAACAAAACGGGTAAATAAAGCTTGTGACTCACAGCTGAATATGATTTTAGTGTTGGTCCAATTAGTCATTTCCTTCCAACGCGTGACCCGATTTTCTTGGAAAACGTCTCGGCGCTGTGCCAGGAGCGGGGTTCTAATTAGCATAAACAACGCTTCCTAATCAGGCTTGCAAAAAAAATGCTAACTAAGTAATTTGCTTCAACATACATGAAATTGGTGTTATTGAAATAGAAAATAAATGAACCTTAACACAGTAGTATTTATTTTGAAACCCATCATGTAAATGAGTACAATCAGACTGAAATTTATTACTGTCAAATTATGTTTTATGTTCTTATATCACCCACCTGTTGCTGTTTCACTAATTACCCACCCAGCCTTGGTACTCTTCGGTTTCTAGTCTATTTTCAGATCCTGTGTTTAGCTTGTCAAATAGCCCATTCACACTGATATAGCCTCTTGGGTTTTGTAACTAAGGTCTTGTTGGATCTCCAGCCCACCTGCATTTGGATCCTTTCACCGCCAATGATGACAACGGGTATCTTCTTGCAGCCAGTGGTGATATTCATAGGCTGTGAAACTCCAAACCCAAGCAAAATGCATGCCTTTACATCTGAAAATGGGTTCCTTTAAATGTTTTATGTAAGCCACATCAGTTCATTTCATACTAAAAAGTAATGTTGCGAATCTTTACATGGATCAAAAGCTTACAAATCCACTTGAGCAAGCACTGAAGCATTAAATTAATACTAAGCAGGTTCAGTCAACCCAACCACATCTTTGTAAGGAAGCAAATTGGGGAAATGTTCAAAGCGCCCCCCTGCGTCTCTACACTATACATTTTGGAGACGGTTCATGGAGGATTTAATGGGAAAAATGTTGCAAAACATGAAAATCTTGGTTCTTGTCACTGTTATTTAAGACACGAGTCAAGCTCCAGTGGAAATAACACTCATCACACAGAGTAGACGCTTTAAAGGCACATCTGTCAGTCTGAATCAGCACAGAGAGAAATGCCAAACCTGAAATGATTCGATGCAGACCTAAAGCGGCCACTGCATTTTCTCCAGAGCTCTGGTGCGATGCCGCTCCCTGTAATTTACCTTCTGCCGGAGCACGTAGAGCCGTTCGCCCGGCATTCCTCTGCTGCCCACCGCAACACATGAAAGCCTCGGCCACAGCTGTTCTGGATCGGGGGGGAAATGAGCCCCAGATGGCGAAGTGTTTTGTGTGCATGCATATGTCTGTGTTTCTTGCCACATAAGAGGGGTGATTTTCACTGTACAAGTGGCCTGAGTCACATCCCCAGGGTAATGCGGGGAAGACTACTGCAGGATGGTGGGTGTGTAGCCTACTGTATGTAAAAACATGTTTGCTGTCCACAAAGCAGCTGGTACACACAGGGTGTGTTTTCATCCATGCACATGYACAGTTTGGATGTTCTTTTCCCGCTGACCTTCAAACACTTGCAGAATTTTACATCCATGCAAATAGGGATGGGTACCTTTGACGTCTGAATCGATTCGGTACCAATATCCGGTACCTGGGAATCGATACCGGTACTTTGTGTGTTGTTTTTTCAATAATAAACTTTTATTTATTTATTTTTTATTTAACATATTTCTCAATATATAAAATTAACAAATATCAAGACAACATCCAACTCTTTGTATTGTAACATCAGTTATTTTAACTAATTTCTTTAAAGTGAAAACTCTTGAAAACAACAAGACTGTTTTGTCTTATTGCACAAATTAAAATCTAGCTCCACGTGTTTCTATTGATTTCATTTCCCCGCTAGAAAAAGTGTGTGATGGAGGTCCATGGAAGGCAAACAAGTTTAAATCAAATAAGTAAAAAAGAGGATGGAGTTAAAATAAAGAAAAGGTATTCAAGCAACGTTTTGAGCATCCAAATCGAGCCCAACGCTTCAAGTTAGCTGCTTGTGCTCAGGTGTTCGGACTGTCGGGAAGCGCCTCTGTTGTTTTCCTCTGCCGGTCTCAGTTTAATGGGGGATGAAATAAAGAAAGTGGCGGTACTTTATTTACTTTGAGCAAGCGAACGTCGTACTCACAAGACAATTAATCCACCAGATAATTCAGAGGCGGTCTGTTCGGTGAGTTTTACTCCAGGAGCTGCGAGGCTTTCATGCTACGTTCAGACCAAGCTCTGCTGCCTCTGTTTACTGAACACAGCGGCTGCTGTTGACGTCATTACGCTCTTGCGTGATGCTACATTCAGGACAAGCAGGGAAAACTCACCACTCTTATGCCAAACCGGTTGCAATGATGCGTTTAGGTACCGAAACATGGTACCGTTTGATGTTACGTGAATTGATACTCGGTAGTACCGACAGAATTCCGTCTGTGCATAAAAAGGTATTGAACTCGGTACCCATCCCTACACGCAAATAAAGAATAGCCAACAATGCCGTGTATGTGCTGCACCATTGAAAAGGAAACAATATTGATTATGCAAACTGCAATCAGCATTCATCCTTCCGTTACGTTATGCAAGTCAAACCATGAAGGATATCCTTTGGAAGATGGGATGATCTTAATGCTGGGAAACTAACAGTTCAACCAATAGTCGCAGATTTAAAGCCTGATTGCTTAGGTTTTCTACAACCTCCTACCACAGTGGTTTCACATGACAGAAAATCTTTTAAACTAATCACAATTCATTAAATAATCCAACTACATTCACTAATTGCTGCAAATAAATGCCAACAAATGTAGTTACATTATATGATAAGTGGAAGTCGAATATTTCTACGCAGGATGTGCGCACACCCAACGATAGCACAGTCACGTGTGAGTCCTGTATGTGTATACTGTCTGTTCTGCAGCATAAAATAACCGTTATCCTTGCATTAAGTAATGTTCTTTTCAATGTTCCTTCATGCATTGGCATAGAAACCACAGGTAAACCTGCTGTCAGAGCAAAGTGCTGTGTTAGGAAAATATGGAACTACAAGATCTTGGCTGTTAAGAGCTTTGCATGTTAAAAGCAAGATTTTAAATTCTATTACTACAAGCCAATTGAGAGGAGCTAAAGGTGGGAAAAATACAATATTTTCTTGTAACTCTCATCAGAACTTTAGTAGCAGCATTTTGGATCATTTAAAAACTTTATAGAGTATTTTTGGACACCCAGGAAAAAACAACAACAACAACAAAAAAGTTTTACAACAGTCTGGGCTGCAAAGTCAGGTCCAGAACCAACAACCTCTGTCTTGGCTGAGTTTAAGAGCTGGAAGTCCAATGTTTTTTTTTGGTTTTAAGACATCCTTTGCAAACTAAGTAACTGATTGAATTTATCAGGCTTTATGGAGAAATAAGAGTGTCATCAGCGTAACAATGAACCTTTTCCCGCTCACTGAAAATAATGTTGCAACTCAAAGCATTTATAATTTAGTTAGACAACTGACAGCAATTTATCTTAAAACTAGGAAATGCACAATAAAAAGCGAAATTAAAAGACATGTTATTTTTAATACTTCAAGAAGAAACTGATTGAGAACAATGACTGTTAGTAAATAAGTTGCTGGAATATTGAAATTAGAACATTTTAAATCCCTTAAAGTTCGTTTTCTTTCACTAAGAAACTCCATCAATGGTAAGTTGTCATTATTAAAAGACTTAATATTTTTAAAGTGTTACTTTGGATCTTTAATTACTGTTTGATCAAGTGTTGCAATTATCAACACTTGTTATTTTTCCTGTTTCAAAAGCTGACCTCATGTTAAAATCACATACAGGAAGATTTGTGTCATTTACTCACATCTTATGAGTCGTACAAGAATCTCTGGCTACGTTCACACTGCAGGCAAATCCGACCCAAATCCGATTTTTTTGACCCATCTGACTCATATCCGATTTTTTT